GATGACGACGACGACGAAGATTATCACCACCACCACCACCACCACCACTACCACTACTACTACTACTACTACTACTACTACTACTACTACTGCTGCTGCTGCTGCTGCTGCTGCTATACTACTACTGCTAATAATAATAGGGACCTTTATATATCTCTCAAATCAATTACAGATCACATGCTCTGGGCGTTTTGCAAATTCATGCAGCAACAAATAGAGCACAGTGTCCTATCTCTTTAATGTAAAAACAGACTTTGACAAGATTTTGCGCGTATCTCGCGTTCAAGCGATAAAGCCAGGATTTTTTTAATCGCATTGTGTCATAGATTTGATCCATAACGAAATTTGAAGACCTTAGGAGATTAGGAAATTACAAACACAAAAACAAAAACAAAAGAAAACAGAAATTCCCCACACACGCGGGAAATCCGGATTTGATTTTCTGAGATTATTTCAAAGTTCGCAGAGAGACATGATTGTTCTTAAGATATGTTTAAACGGGCCCATTCAAACGGATTTATGGCCACTTTTTGTCCATGCGTACATGCACGCTCGAAATGTTGAAACTTCGCAGGCTTTTAAACAATAAAAGGAAAGATACGTACCATCTTCTTAAACAGCGTTTTTCCTTCCAATGTGTTTGCTTGAAGTACAGACAAACGCTTTTTACTACTGGCAGTTATGTTTAGTAAACTTGTCTCTACAGATTTATCTGTAATCCATTCATCAGTTGCATGTTTATCACCAGAACGTTTATCAGTGGTATGTTTATCACCAGCACGTTTATCAGTGCAATGTTTATCACTAGCACGTTTATCTGTGGCATGTTTATCAATAGCACGTTTATCAGTGGCAATTTTATATCTGCCATGTTTATCAGTGGCATGTTTATTTGTGGAACGTTTATCTCTAGCACGTTTATCAGAAGCACGTTTATCTCCAGCAAGTGTATCAGTTGTATATTTATCATTAGCACGTTTATTAGTGAAACAATTGTGTCCATCAAATATATCTCAAACCCGTTTGTTAGTGAAACGTTTATCACTAATATGTTTATCAATGATATATTTACCCCTTATGCCCCGTGCACACTAAGAAAGTTTCCACCAATCGCACGGCTGCAGGTATGCAAAAGAGAAGATTTTTCCCACACGTCTCCCTTCACCGCATAGTGACGTCATACTTCGCAATGTGCAACGAATGGACATTTTTCGAGAATCCGCAGGACCCTTAAACGTATATCTTGGACACATTAAACATTTATCACTGACAAAATTATATATATATTAAACGTTTACGACTAGCATTTTATTATTAGCACGATTGCTACTAACATTTGTTATGAATGACAATAATACGTTGGTCACGAACAAGTTAACCGCTGACACATTTATCACTCCACTCGGCGTGATGCAGTCTAGTGTGGAGTGGTGCGGTGTGGTGTGGTGTGGTGTGGTGTGGCGTGGTGTGGTGTAGTGTAGAGTAGTGTGGTGTGGTGTGGTGTGGTGTGGTGTGG